GGGCATCTGATTTTCCCGCAAGTCATGATTATGCTCTCCACGCGTCTCGATCACTTCGTTATTTTCTGTAATGGTAGATGCTCGACAAAAGCAATCAGTGCGATTCTTTTTCAATTGATTCGTCAGTTTTTGCTCATTCAAAAAGCCTATATTTTGCCAATTCTGCTTTTGTAAAAATTCCAAAAAGTACTTTCAAAATTGTTTTCAGAAAGCTTACTTTGTGCGACTCGCCCAGCAAAATTGATTTCTTTGTAAAGTTTAGACCAAAAAGTATATCCCATAGGTTTTCAGCAGCAAATATATTTGTTCCTATCTGTGTTCCTTGTGAGGTTACATGATTCTGGGTTTACCTCTACCGAAAAGGCTATTCAACCAGTTAATATGAGATTTGTAGGACTAGCCTTTTTTGAGAAATATAGTAGCACGTCGATATTTAGCCAGATACACTGTCCCTGTCCCACAAGCAAAACACTTTTGTTGCTAATCTTTTCCGAAGAGCTTGTAAAAAAGGCAGTAAGCTAATGAAAGAAAATTTTAATTCTCTTTACTGTTTTTAACAGTTGAAATTTGACTTTAAAAGCAACAAAATATAGTAAGTACTAAAAATAATCATTAGTCCTAATATCAGAGCTGAGCAAAAAATAAACTCATTGCAAAATTCATCAGTCTAGCCGGATCCCAGCTACTGTTAGCAGAATTTTCCACAGATAATAGAACTCTAAATAAGTTATTTATGCTTTTATTTTATTGTTTTTATTCTTTATGCACCATACAATTGTTGCTTTCTCTCAAACCGCTCGTCTACGAAGTATTCAAAGATCCGCGAAATGTACAATTTTTAACATCATCATTCTTTATTTGTATTGAAAGTGTTGATTTTATGCAATCTTTCTTTAGTTTGAAGAGTTCTATGTATGATGAAAATCAACAAATTCGATACCAAAATCTAACTTTGACCAAAAATTTTGATCAAAAATGCTGATTTCAGCTAACAACAACAGTTGTAAAAAATATTTACGTATGAGAGAAAACCATTTTATTTTCTTATAAAAAAACTAATTAAGACGTTGCGCAGGCAAACAAAACATGCTACCGATCCGATGAAGACAAGGAAAATCAAATTTTATCAAATTTCATCATGGTGGGCTCTGACTTTTAAAAACAAATACGGCTGAAACAAATTGAGTATCTGAGCTCAAAGCTGAACAAGTGATTCGCATGCTACTGTTTGTTTCCAAGTTTCTGGTGGTTCAAATGTACAATTTTTAACATCATCATTCTTTATTTGTATTGAAAGTGTTGATTTTATGCAATCTTTCTTTAGTTTGAAGAGTTCTATGTATGATGCAATTCAATCATAGAACTGCTTGTGAGACAGGGACACTCTGGCATAATCAATTCATGCAAAACTTACAACTTTTTTAAAGCGCAGCGTAGGCACCAAAACAATCTGGTTCAGAAAATGTGGATTCGAAAATTGCTGAAAAAGACGAATATTGATATGTCTTTTTTACGTTGTCTATGGTGAGATTTTGTTATGTTTATTAATTGTTTTAAATTCCTTTTTGTGAAACCCTTCATCAGAAACGGCATTCGGGTTTTGATTCCGCACTGGAGTTTCGTGGATATTAATCATTTATACTGTCATTTTATAGTCAGTTTCCATAAAATTACGAAACTAATCAGATACAATCGATTAAAATTGGATAATTATTCTAATATTTTTATATCAAAATAATCCATTATAATCAATTAAAATGAGTTTTTGAAAGGTTATTGGGGTTTTTACTTTGCAGAACGTTGATTTTTTAAACAATTTGGTGTCAATTTGACGTAATTTTGCAAAACTCTCATCCAAAATTTCAAGAGTTAAATTAGCTTTTAAAAAACTTCTGCAGACAAAAAATCAATTTTCATGTATTTTTGTGGCCTACAAAATCGTTATTTTGTCAAAATGGTCGATTTTATTGGACTCTTAAATATTGAAAATAATCGATTATAATCCCCTAAAATCCATTTTCATGGTTGGATGGGTCATGAAAGTCGATATGGGTTAAGTTTTTTGCCGATAAAATCCATTATAATTGATTAATTCTCATGAAACTCCAGTGCGGGATATCGTTCACAGCTTCATCCTGAAACCAGCAGACTATCGTAGCTTAGTTATGGTTTCATGTCTTTTGCAGAGTTTGGTGAAACAGTGCATCTTCTCTTTTTTAAGCTAATCTAACCTCAATTGTGAGGCGACATGAAATATTCTGCTTGAAAAACCAAGGACGCGGATGGGACCTGGGGTAGTGCTGCAACAATAGCTCGAACGTTCGGACTTTCATTTGCGAGATTGACGTTTGAATGCTAATTTCATCATTCGAATATAGATTTTTCTTGAACAAAGTTGTCATGTGAGTTTGAACATTTGCAATTCACGCATGCTGCTCTGATTCGGTTGAAAAAGGATCAAAATTGCAGCGGCTTTTTTAAAATTCAGTTAAAATAATTGAAGTGAGTTATGGCTGCTGCTAACCATGTGTGATAAATGGGATTTGTTAATTACGTGACTCGAAATTGAATACTTCATTTATTTTTTTTGGCGGAGGTTCCAGTTTTTGTGGAAAAAAATTACTGCTCAGAAATTTTGAAAGATCAACATTCGAATGGACGTTCGAATGATCGTGTCAAACGTTCGAACTCTTGATTTGAACATTTGTTGCAACACTACTTGGGGGTTTGCTTATAACTGCCTATGCTCCGATTATTGAAAATGGGGATATATTTTGTATTCGGGTGTGTTTTAGTTTTTTTGCACGCAAAATCAAGTACTACAACTAATCATTGGAATGGTGTTGTATCATACTGAAGCCCTTTCAAACGCGATTCAAACGACATTGAAAAACTTTCAAAAACTATCTCAGATTTGAAGAAAACTTGTTTGAAACGTTGAGTGTTTTTGTTTCCATTTGAGCGAATAAAGCGAGAGAGATTCTTAAAGCAGTTTTGGGATTCGAAAAAATCTAAAATGGAAAAAATTAGAGTAAGAAAACTTTTTTAAAAAAACCTTTCTAATTTTTTGTAGTCTTTTTTTTTCTGCAAAAACTGTTGTCTAATTTGCCTGTTTTGATATTACTGTCTAATAATCATTAATTATAGTTTTCGTTCAGACCCCTTTATCACAACACGCAGATTAATCGACACTACTTTGGAAAAAATATTAAAATATTTTTATTGTATTTCTCTAAGGCTTGGTTGGATCGTTCTTGCACAGTAACCAAATTGTGAAACACTGTTTTAGAAAGTAGTATTAGTTCAAGTTTTCATTTCTTTAGCAGAATAAATGCTCTCTTCCCACATGCAGTCTTTGAATGCTCTCTTGCAGTTAATTCCCACTTAATCTTGAATGTGAGCTTCGAGCAGACTGTTTGGCGATTAAAGTAGAAGTTTCCTTTTGGACTCGCTATTCAAATTTCTCTCTCCAACAGTAACAAAAAGCTTTTAAACGAATCCATGTGTCTTAAAACTCAAACAATACTAATTATTTGTTTTTTTTGTTATAGTTATGTTCATTAATTGTTTTAAATGCCTTTTTGTGAAACCCTTCATCAGAAACGGCATTCGGGTTTTGATTCCGCACTGGATTTTCGTAGATATTAATCATTTATACTGTCATTTTATAGTCAGTTTCCATAAAATTACAAAACTAATCGGATACAATCCATTGAAATTGGATAATTATTCTAAACATTTTTATATCAAAATAATCCATTATAATCGATTTTAATCAATTAAAATGAGTTTTTGAAAGGTTATTGGGGTTTTTACTTTGCAGAACGTTGATGTTTTTTAATTAATTTGGTGTCAATTTGATGTAATTTTGCAAAACTCTCATCCAAAAGTTTCAAGAGTTAAATTAGCTTTTAAAAAATTTCTGCAGAAAAAAAATCAATTTTCATGAATTTTTGTGGCCTACAAAATCGTTATTTTGTCAAAATGGTCGATTTTAATGGATTCCTAAATATTGAAAACAATCGATTATAATCCCCTAAAATCCATTTTCATGGTTGGATGGGTCATGAAAGTCGATATGGGTTAAGTTTTTTGCCGATATAATCCATTATAATTGATTAATTCTCATGAAACTCCAGTGCGGGATATCG